TATTTAAAAAAAAAAAAAAAATTCACTTTCAAACTTCACGCTGGCTCCGCCACCCTGCGACGCGGCCGCTCGCAAGGGACAGAACCCGGAAGTCGACAGCCGCCGGAGGACACAGTGGGGATCGCGGACAAGGTAAGTCCTACGCTGTATTCCCAAGTGTGGCTGGGGGGTTACCGCTTTGTTAACCCCGAGCCACACTCTGGAATACCAGTGGAAAAACGCTCCAAAGAAGCTCCTGTACTTGTTTGGGCGTAGGGCACTTTTCAGCGTGTTTCCACGGGCTGAAATACGCCCAGGTGGGAACCATGCCCATAGGGAAGTATGGGATTCCACTGTTTGAGCGTTTTTCAGCGCTTCGATCAGCGCTGAAAAAGGCCCAGGTGTGAACCCAGCCTAAGAGTCCTGAGACCGGCTCCACTTTGGACTTGCTCTGTGTATTACGCGGTGGAGACTTGGGTGACACCTATGCAGGTCCCACTGTATGTGGAACTGGAGGTGGTGGTTTTCATATTTTAGTACTGAATGGAAGGATTGAAATGCGGAAAAGATCTCACATTTATGGTGCCCAGGGAACCTTTAAAGAAAGAGGAAGTATTCCATGAAATAGGTGTTCCTTCCATGAGCTTGAGAGCCACCACTGCCATATTTCCTCTTTGTCTCAGTTAATAGGCTGCCAAGGAACTGGCCTACACGACAGAAAGGGGGCATGGCCAACACAGCCCTCAGTACTAACAGGAGTGGGGGGTGAGACTGGACATTGCTACACCTAGCCCTCCAATAAGCATCACCATTTGCACTCCAGCGTGGTGACACCCGCGAATGCACGCCCCAGATGGTCACCACTGTCCCACACTATCGCGGGCACTGAGCCGCCACCCCTTTCTCCGCGTGAAGGAATCACCAGCTCAAAGATATAAGGCTTCAGGTGCCTGGTGTATGCTTCTACTACCCAGGGAGGAATATGATGAGGGCTGGAGCCAAAGGCAAGCCACCCAAAAATTGGACAGACAGAGCCTGAATGGGGTCATAGGGAAGCCCGACACCCTTCCTAAAGTTCCTCGGCCTTAGGCTTGCCAGGTCCCAGTCTTCAGCTGTTAATTATGAAGAGATAAGAGAACTATGGGGTAACCTTTTTTCCCCCATAGTTCTCTTTAGGGTCACAGGAGGACATACACAGTGGCCAGTTTATTATGACCACCTGACGTTTGTAGGCAAATTAGCTATAATTTCGCGCTGAAGTTGCTAGAGGGCCAGACCATTATAAATAGGGAAGCAGGTTGTTTACCACGTCAGCAGAAGTGATGTTTTTCTGAAGATACGGGGAAACATCGCGATTTAACAGCCTTTGAACGTGGGATGATTGTTGGCACTCAAGCCATGGAGCGAGTATCAGCAAAACAGCAGAATTTGTTAAATGTTCAAGAGCAGCTGTTGTTAAAGTGTTTAAAGACTGGACTGTCAGCCGTAAATCTGGGTCTGAACTAGGGCTGCAACAACTAATCGACATAATCGATTATAATCGATTATTTAAAAAGTTGTCAACTTTTTCAATCATCGATTAATCGGCTTCTGGTTAGTTGGCCCTGTTTACGGCTCCAAACACGCTGCGCGCCGCACCTCCTCCCCACCTCATGCTCACCGCTTCCAGACCCGCCCGCATCCACACGCCGCACCTCCTCCCCGCCTCACGCTCACCGCCCTCCCACATCCACGATCGGCACGGACGCGGGGAGAAGAAGTAAGGAGGAGCAGGTGTGGGGGGGATGACAATCGCCGATAGACAGGCCCTATCTCAGAAGCAAGTTGCTGGAAGACTGCTCAAGTAAGCCTTCCCCCAACATGGTGCTTTATAATGTATTGCTGGGATTTGTATTCCTCTATAGCTGATGGTACATTGTGCTGTATATTATACATAGGAATACAAATCCCAGCAATAGTACATTATACACTGTATGTTTAATGTACTATTGCTGAGATGTGTTGTATCCCTCTATAGCTGGTATTCTGCATTGCGCTGTATAGAGGACTACAAATCCCAGCAATAATACATTATACAGTGGTGCAATGCTGAATACCACTAGCTATAGAGGACTACAAAACCCAGTAATACATTATACAGCAACGCAAAATACCACCAACTATAATGTATTGCTGGCATTTGTTGTACTCCTCTGTAGCTGGTGGTATTCTGTATTGTGCTGTATAATGTATTATTGCTGGGATTTGTTGTACTCTTCTACAGCTGGTGGTATTCTGTATTGTGCTGTATAATGTATTATTGCTGGGATTTGTAGTCCTCTATAGCCGGTGCTATTCTGCTTTCATTGCTGTATAATTTTACACTTTTCAATTCACTATATTGCACACCACACTTTTTTGTTTCTCCTTATTTACTTCTACCGCTCCAAGATTGCTCCTGTGATGGACTACAATCTCAATACAAACTAGTAGTCCCATCCCTGGAGCCGTTTTTTAAAATGTGTTTTATTTTTTATCCGATTAACCGATTAATCGAACTCAATAATCGGCTAACTAATCGATTTTGAAAATAATCATTAGCTGCAGCTCTAGTCTGAACGTGCGAATTGTGGCCGTCAGCGACTAGTCAATGTTAGGGCAGAACGGAGAGTGGCAAGACTGGTACAAGACAACAGAAGGGCAACAGTGCAGTGTTAGATTCCTCGCATCACCTTTCAACATCTCGTGGAGTCACGTGGCGGCCCAACAAAGTCATCTCATGGAGTCATCTCGTGGCCCAACGAAGTACTGATGGGGTGGTCATAATAATCTGGCCACTCAGTGTATACTAATGTCCTCCCGTAACCCAAAACTAGGGTTGCACCAATACCGTTTTTTTTGGTATCGACTACCGATATTTTTTTTCCGGTACTCACCGATACCGAATACCGGAAGTCCCATTAAGGAAGCCACCTGGCTTCCTGATTAGCAGGGAAGCCGTCTCCATGCTCCCTCGTCACCAGGTAACGAGGAAGCATGGAGCAGGCTTTCTGGCCAATCAGGAAGCCGAAGGGGGCGGGTAATAACTCGCCGTCTGGCTTTTTGATTGGCCAACTTTTCGACCAATCAGGAAGCCGGGCAGCAAGTCATTATACGATGCCCGGCTTCCTGATTGACCGTGAAGCCGGCTCCATGCACCCTTGTCACCAGGTGACGAGGGAGCGTGAAGCTGGCTCTCTGGCCAATCAGGAAGCCGGGGGGCGGGTAATGACTTGCCGTCCGACTTCCTGAATGGCCATCTTGCTGACCAATCAGGAAGCTAGGCAGCGAGTCATTACACGCTGCACGGCGTGACTACCAAGTGATGAGGGAGTCGGCTTCCCGGCCAATCAAGAAGCCAGGCAGCATGTAATGACTCGCTGCCCGGCTTCCTGATACCGGAAGTTCGGGTATCGGGCTAAGCATTTGGGCAAGAACGGGTACTCGCCCAAAATACTCGGTATCGGCACCAGTGAATCCCTACCCAGAGTGGCCATTTTAACTATGGGTAGGTTACTAGATCTCCCTTTACTTCTTGGATCTCTGGCACATGTGACCATGTACATCATTTCAGGGAAGGAAAATGCCTTTCCATATGAGATTTCCCAGCAATACTCTGCTGATGTAACCTTCCCAGGATGCAACACTTTGGCACCTTACATAATTTGTGCCAGAACTGGACCAGGAAGTAGATGAACTCTATTTGTCAGTGAATTAAAAACATGTTTGTTTAGCTAATGAATGTAATGCTATTTTATATCATTGTGCAGAGCCTCATGCTGCTGTGATTTTTAGGGAAAGGGGGTAAAGGTCCGCTTTAACCCTTGCAGTGGGGCTACCCCTGCACTGCAAGAGTTAATTGCAGGTTTTGTCCCACCTATCCAGGACTGTGCTATGAACTGTGACGACGTGGGACTCATTTACAAACACAGGAGCAGAATTGAATCAGCCGCCTTTACTGTCCAATCAAGTTGACGCTTCCGGAGGAAGCTGCAGGGAAATGCTTAGTATGGGCGCCTCCTCTAGGTCTTGGAAACCCCCTCATTGCAGCAGTCCGAGTACCGTATACCGGGAAAACCACGATCCCTCTCACCTCAGTCTAGACCGCCGTCCCGTCCTACGGCTGTGACGTCACCCCCGGAGCTCCGAGAGCGGTCAGGGGGACGGGCCGCCGGAGTGGGCGGGGCCGTGACGTTGGTGTGTGACGTCAGGACAGCCGGAAGGGATGTGAGAAGACCGGCCAGTGCAGAGTTCAGGGAGAGGATGGCGGAGGTGAGTGCGGAGCGGAGTGAAGTGAGGTCAGCCCGGGGATAAGAAGGAGACAGAGGGGGCGGCTGTGATTGTGTGCAGTGTGTGTACAGCAGGGGTCATGTGACCTTAGTTTCAGGTGACAGCTGTCATCTCAATCCTCTGCAGTCAGTGGTGTTCACAGGTTGTCATCCTAGTGGCAGCGCTCTCTGGTGTGAGTCCCTGATTTGGGTACAGTTTGCTGGGTTTCTTTTGTCGGGGGAGGGGTCATTCAGATCTTCTTTTATTCTTGTCCTTACTCTGCAGACTGTGTGTGTCAGTGACAGGTACTCGTAAAGACCTAGATATAGAATGTGGGGGGTCACTGCTGAATCATTGAGGGATCTGCCAATTAATTGGAGTCACTTTGGAATCATTGGGGGGTCACTGCACAATCATTTCAATCACTGCAGAATCATTGGAGTCTGTGGAATCATTGGGGGTCACTGCGGAATAATTTCAATCACTGTGGAATCATTGGAGTCTGTGGAATCATTGGGGGGTCACTGCACAATCATTTCAATCACTGTGAAATCATTGGGGGTTGCTGCTGAATCATTGGCGGTCTCAGCCAAATCATTGGCGGTCACA